CTCTTTCCGGGAAGTTCCCCTGCCCTGACAAATTCAAAGCCCTGAACTTCAAAGTAGTATATATCTTACAGGGCTTTACAGAACTCAGTAATGGCTCGTTCTCATGACCAAGTTGCTACTTCATAACCGGTGACTGCGCGTTAACAACATGACAGTACTTCTCCATGTGTGTGGCCACCACCTGCGGCACGTGCATGGCAACGTTGTTCTCTTCCACAGTGGACTAAGCTGTGTTAGCTTGCATTTACTATGAGTTAAGGTCACATATGCGGACCATTTCCATTACTCCAATAATACTGAAGTATTTTTTAGGAGGCGATGCTTGATCATGAGTCTAATCAACTGGTCTAACAATGCTGAAAAATTTAGGTGTGCAGAAGTGCTGACAGATAGACAAGCATCTAAATGTGGCCAGAGGTATCTAACTGTAAGGTCATTTATTCGGAAATGACACTGTGAAAAGTTGCTAATATGTTTTAAAGATTTGAACAGTGCCTTTTCAGCTATAGGACTGTCTGGTCTCTGAAGGAAACCAATCAGGCGGGGGCATCTTGCCCAGAACTCTATGTGTATTAGTATTGCAAGATCACATTGAGGCCTCGTCAGGAATTAGGGTGTATGATACACATAACAGAAGATGAACTGTGTCTTAAAGACCTATCTGCCTAAGTAAAATAAAATAATAAAAAAACCAACAGATGAACAAGGTCAGCAGAGCAAAAGAACACAGTCATCCAGAATCTCTGCACTTGTAACATTTTCTTTATTCATCCTTCCATTATCTATGAAGGGGTGGAGAGGAAAAATAAAACAGACTGTAGTATGACATAGCTTGAAATTCTTCATGCAGGGCAATTCTACGCAGGCTGCAGAATTAGATTTGGGCAAAATGGGCCACTGTCTATATCCTTTTGCAAATTCTTTAGCATTAAGAAATTAAAAATTTCCCACATCATTAAGCCAAAATAGTGGAGTTGTAGGTCTGAAGACTGCAGAAGTGTTGGATGGAGCAACATGAATCAAAATTCTGAGTGTTGTGAAAGGTCTACCGCCTCTGGCCTCAAAGCGGTAACACTGCAATTCTTGCAGAACATGCAGTGGCATAATCAGCCACAATACAAAAAAGAAGTTCAAAAGCCAAGACTGTAAGAAACCAAGTGGAAGCAAGCCTGTGTCCTGTCCTGGTGAGGACTCAGCTAGATACAAAATACTAGAGCTGATACGTTTGCTTAGCCCTTTTCCAAATAACCAGAGCTCCATAAAAATCATAGTTTTCTCAGAAATCTTAAGGAACTGTGTTAAGAGGGAGGAAAATTCAGCAAGTTGTTTCTACAAGATCTCCTGGAAATCATTCGACAGAAGGGCTAGAATTTGACCTTCTAGACAGACCACACAATGTAAGACCCTATGGATGGATGCTTCAAGCTCCACAAGACATCAGGACCACTTTCACCAAGACCCCCTATTGCCAAATTAGATCTATTAACTTCTTTCCACTGCAAGGGAGAACTGTGCTATTTCCATGTCGGGGGAAGGTTTTAATAATGGGTAGCATGGCTTGAGGAAAGAGAGGGGTGGCAGAAAATGTATGCACCCTCATCTCTGTAGCCACTGCCTGCTTATACTCTGCTTCCTCGCAGCAAGGAACCTCCTCTAGTGGTCACCCATCATCCTACACAAAGGGGATAAATGGCACAGCAGCTCCCATTTATCAGGTACTCCTGGCCCAGGTCTGAAGGTCCCATGAGGCGACATAAGTACTGAAGGAATTTCAGGATTAATCTGTTTTCTGTTGACTCAGTGCCAAACTGAGTGGGGAACACGAGTAGTGGTTGTGGGGTGTCTTCCTGCCTAATGAGGAAATGAACTTGTTCATCTTTGCTTCAGCTTACAGTAGCTGCGGACACAGCCCACGTGGGCAGTGGAGAAGCGGGGATAATTCTGTCTCTGTAAATAGGGGTTTGGGATTAGGCAATGTCATCCTCTGATAGACACATGCCAGATGGGTTAGTATTTACCATCCACCACCTACGGGTGTGTACTGCACTTGCAGTCTGGGGACTCTCGGGCAGGACCGCTGTGCAAAATCACATTCAAACCAAATTCATATGAGCAATTGGATTGGTTTGCATACCCTCTTTTTAATATCTAAAACAACAGATGACAAAATCTTAGAAACTGTTTGCTAAGTAGTAAAGTGAGATGAGTCGTGCATAAAATCAGTGTCAGCCATATGAGTGTGAACCTTTGCAAACTCTTGCAGTAAGATACAGCTTTGTCAATGTAGATATCAATAACTTCTGAGAACTGAGCTGAAACCTATAAACTCACTTCCACTCCAGAGGTACTACCGCAATATAATGTGCCAAAACAAATAAAGTGCAGCAGAAATACAATAGATAATAATTGCTTTTGAGACTAGTTTTCAACATAGCTTACATTATGATGAATTTTCATGACAATACGTTGCTAGAAGTTGTGTCCTATTCTGCTCTAACTGAGAACACAAGTTGGCTGCTTACCAAGCTTGTGCTGAGTAGGATGCTGCAAAGGGGGTCTGGCCTTCCAGGCAGATCCTGAGTATGTTACTGTCACTTAATGTTGACCAGTCAACCTACCGAGGTTTCTGTGCTGCTGGTCTGCCGAATAGATTTCCCTTGAGTCCTTCAAAGCTATATAGCAGAACACTCAGGAAAGAAGCATAATACAAGTAATAGGCTAATAATAATAAATGGAATTTTAATGCTCTCTAGACAGCAAATTTATGCCATTCCCTTCTTTCTGATCTGATGATGGGTTTTGTTTAAACCTCCAGGTGACCGTCCTATATGTTGTTCACTTATTCCAGCTCCACAAGAGCACTACCTTCAAGGGAATGAGAAAAAATGCAACCTCAGTGCATGCCACAGACATTTTACATAGCAAGCAGGACAGCACACATCAAAGGATTTACTGTGAAATCATCTTGCAATCAGCATAGGATTGATCTCCATAGACCACCCTTGACAGCAAGCATGTACTTCATGAGCAGTTACACGCCAGTTTTTAAAACCAAGGAAAAAAAAAATTGTATATTGGGACTGTTTTTCAGCCTGTTTGCTACATTTTTTTGCATTCTGTCCCATGCTGGTTTTACAGATCTTAGAATAAAAAATGTACATGAACAACCTGGATACTTTGGCAAATGAAAAAGCCTAGGTATAGAACATCATCTGCATTCAAGCCACCAAATACTACAACAGAAGCCCTGTTTACAAATCAGTTCTTTTTTTATTTAAAATCTTTCTGAGGGGAGTTATGTCATTTACCATATATATAAAATATATATATATATAAAGTATATAGAGAGATTGTTTATTTGTAAATAGAAAAATCCTATGGAGAAGAATGTCAAGTTTTCACTTTAAAAAAAATCATCAACATAAAGCCATGTTTAATGCTTGTATAATGTGACGCAATAAACTTTAAAATAAATTATGCATATGAAATATTTGCTGTTTGGCATTCATTAGTTATTTTCTGTTTACCTTATTTGTTCAGAAAGCAAACAGACCGGTCAGTTGAAAGCAAATTTAAATGCAGACCAAAAAGGGCCAAAATCCAGCACTACTTTCTCTCTGTGCATCCTTTGTGTATTCACGCAGTCAAATATTGTCTCTGTTGTGGTTTTAGCTCTTTTTTTAATGTTCCTACTTGTTTTGTCTCTTGACCTTGCCAGATGCTGCATGTAATTTGGACAGTGTGGAGTGCTCCCACTCCCATGGAATTAATCGGCTTTGAGCATCCTGCATTTCTTTGTCGGGTGAGCTTGTGGCTGGGAGAGATGAAGGATCAGTGTGCAGGAAGTGTGATGGAGGCACCAAGAATTATTTTGCTGCTTTTACACAGACAAGGGCCTGGCAGAGACTCCCACGAGCAGAGGACAGTATATGATCCCAGAGAAAATATTGTTCAAAATCAATTAATTGCTTTGACTAGCGATGCCAATTAGAACAAGAAGCATATAGAAAAAAGTAAAGCAGAAAGAGTCACTTGGTAGCTCTGCAGTGATCATGGAAGGTGAGTTAGCAAGAAATAGGGTAGTTGCAGGGGTCAGCTGCAAAGCTTGATAATGTTTGTTTCTAAACCTCTTACAGCAAGATATTCCCCCTCCCTCCCCCCCGTGAAAACTCATCTTGATGTTGTGATTGTGGACCAATAGATATCACCTGGCCTAAACTTCCATGTCATACCACAATTAGAGTTAGATGACTGCTCAGTGCTCAAATAGTGACTTCAAGCAATAAGTGAAGATAAGTTGGTCATTTATGTGTTTTCTATGTTTTAAACTACATGAATTCAAAGCACTGAGAAAAAAAACTCGGTGGTGCTACATTTTTTCTTATCTATGATGACTGGGAAGATATGTCTTCACTCCAAAATGGGTAGAAGTCACAGATCATCCAGGACAGTTTAAGGCAGTATCAATTACAGCGCAAACAGTGATCTCGGCACAGAGTGGTGCAACGACGGCCACATTGATGCTGGTTGACACAGCAGTGATCAGTCACTCTCCCGAGAAACAACATTCAGATGAGAGTTCAGCATGTGTTTTGGGAGGGCTGTAGCCATACCAGCAGGCATACAGGTCAAGGGCTTGCTACAGGCTTCTCTTCTCTCTGTCCACAGCTTACCAAGCACAGGTACACAGAGGCACACCCAGTCCACTTCATTTCAGCACACAGTAGAGTGGAGATACCTCTACTTACCCTTTTTCAGATCTGTGGGCTGAAAGTACCTGGTAAGTACAAATGATCATACTCTGAGGCTCCAGAACTATTCTGTAGCACTAAATGCAGTATCTATTTCTGTGTTACGAAGAGAAGGCACAAGGCTGGATGAGCTGCACTTATCTCCTGAGGTTTCAGAAGCATAGCCAGCTCATTTACTCAGTGGACCAGTTGTCTCAGAGAGACTAGGATAGTGCCAGAACAGAGACCCCTGTCCTCAATCCCAGAAGACTTTTTTCAGGATGTTATTGTTTGTCTCAGATATTAGATACACAGACACAAGATACACCTCATGGGATCTATCCCAGTCGCTCACAGCCCTTACACGCAGTGACTCTAGGCAGTTACCTGGTCACAGAGCTGCAGTAGAGGAATGGGAGAGAAGGGGCTGGCCCTAAACTCTGCATTGGAGCGTGCAAATCACTGCTTCAGGAGGCAAAGGGAGAAACCTGCCTCCATCTAGTAGTTTTGCACTGGGTTAGCCGAGGCAGACGTGCCCCTGGTGGCAACCCATACAGTGGCTGTCTGGCCTGTAATCCTCAGGTATAGGTCTGCTCCTTGGAGTCCATTTTTTTTTTCTTCCTAACATTTTCTGATCCTGTCAGTTTATCTTATGCAGTAGATCATCAAGTGTCCCCTGCCGCAAGGGCACAGAATAAATTGATTTAGATGCTAAAGGGCCCCAGTCAAGGTAGATAAACAAGCACTGTGTCATATTCCAAGTTACAGTAGCTCAGCACCTGGCACAAATGCAGCATAATTTTTAGAAAGCATTTAAGACACACAGTCAGATTTTCATTTGATTCTCAAGCATGACTGCTTTATAAGCTTCACAGCTCAACTTTCCTGCAATGGGTTTTATTTTTCAACTTGATTCTGCCGCTGTAGAGGAGTTTTAAACATCCATGTATAACCATAGCAGAAAGTCTGCAGTACAAAAACAAAACAGTGGGTCAGAGTCTGTTGCCTGCAGCACCAGAAAGCACACAAGATGAGGCAGCAATGGGGATTTTCACCCTCCCAAACCACAGGTACAGTCCATGGTCTGGAGTGGGTGTGCTGTTCAGCTTCTCTTGGCAGCCCAGCCAGAGGATGAGCTGTCCCATGCCCTGCAGCCCCGGAGAAGCCTTCACCAAATGACAGCTTCTGTGATCCCTTCCCCATCCGGAGGGACTGTGCAGTGGACTCTGCCTGCCTGCCAAAACACGCGATGTACTCTTGCCTGATCTGGACCAACCTTAAACGTGAATCCCCAGAGTGACAACAGGGACTGCGTGAACACAAATGGCTACCTGAGGTTTCAGCTCCGCAGATAACAGCAGTGGGAACTGCAGATACAGCCTTCCCTCTTGTCCAGTACAGCAAACAGGGCCCTCTTTTGGCATTAACGTCTCTGCTGCACTATGCCCAGCCCAGTGCAAGAGCAGTCCTATGCCAACACACTGGGCATGAAGTAGACAACTACTGTGGTTCTGCTATATGGCATTGAATAAAAAGCCCAAATAGCTCGTTCCCTTCATAAGGACCAGCTCTGTAAGGGCAAGACAGGGCAGAAGAGGGAGACAGGGCGTGAAGGGAAGGATATTATTGATTTTTACCTCTACCCATCACCAAGCAGGTGGTCACTGCTGGAAGCTACAAGAGTGACCACAGAGGAAGAGATGCAGGTAACCAAGAAACAAGTGCTTAATAAAAACAACCATATATGACAAAACCAGCAAAATAAATATGCTATCAGGATCAGTTCTACAAAGGAACCAGATGGCACTAAATACACCTCCTGTACTAAAAAAAGACCCACTGTTTCTTGCAATCTGATAAAGTCCCACAGCCCTAATCTCTTCATACTTTTCATGCCTTAAAAGAAAAAAAGAAAAAAAAACAAACCAGAAAAACAGCCATGTCTGGGGGAACAGTGCTCTTACCAAATAAAAAATCTACTCTGAGAATGAACTTAGATTAAAAGCAGATATTTTCCAGGAGGCTCAAGAATATCAGGCAAATATTTCACATAGAAACATTGTCGTAAGCCCTGTCACCAAGACCCAGAGTGAGAGAGAGTGAGGAAGTGCAAGAAAGATCTGATACCTTTCTTGACTAGTGTCAAGGTCATGCAAGGGTGACAGTGCCATGAAGCTCAGCAGACCCCTGCCCATGACCTGAGCAGAGCTGATAACTGACCCAGCACAGGACTGTCAACAGTGCTTACATGAACAAAACTGTCCTCGTGGGCTGACGAGGCCCCATGTCATACTTGAAGGCCATTGACTTTGTCCTTATCGCTTGCAACATCCATTTCAATGTGGCTGAAAGCAGGGTTGTCAGTTCCTTCATCTGCCACAGAAAACGGGTTACAGTCCAACACTTCCACTTTCTCTTGCTGAAAAACAAAAGACAAAAGACATGCTGTGAAGTAGAGGAAACAGTCTTCCTCTCTTTCACCTGCATGCAAGCAGAGTCAGGCCAGACATACAGGATGCCTTGCAAGAAAACACATGTTGGTTGCTGACAGAGCATAAATTGTTCTTCATTGCAGTAGCTGGTATTTTTCTAGGGGCATGGAAAGTTTCTTATTGCATAAGGTACTAGTTGTGTAAAATGTTCTTGTCACATAAAATGTGCTTGTCCTGCAAAGTATCTAAAGTAGTTTTGGGTGTGCAAAGTTCTAATTGCTGTTTTCATGTCTAGCGATCTGTCACCACTAGGTCCTTGAGCTATTGACTCCCAACCCTTGTTCCTTGCCCCGTCTTTGACATGAAGAGCATATTAACATGCATCATTTCTTTGATGTGCCATCTCTGTTAAACATAATGAGATGTTGAGCTCTTCATGTGCAGGAAGTTGCTCAGTTTCCCCCGATTTTTTTCTCAACAACTTCCTGCATTATTTGTGACGCCAACTACTTGTTATCCAGCTCCCAGCTGTATAACCAGGCAGACATTTGTTTCTGACTCTGGGCATAAAATAGGATGGCTGTGGACATTAGCTTCCATGTGGGTGGATTGGTTTTGGGGTTTTGTTTTTTGTTGTTGGTTTTTTTTTTTTTTCCCAAAAGTCTTCAGGGATTAAATTCCCAGATAGTGAAAACAGGTGTTGGCCCATTAAAGACAATGAATGACAATAACTGGACAGCTGGTCTCCAGTCCTGACATGGGGAAACTAGTATTGTAAAAATCCCTTTCTCTCCCTGGTGTTCATATCCAGAAGTTGAAATATGTGAGATCATACTAAAAGGAGTTGTCATCATAGAGGAAAAACATTTTGTACACTGGACCATCTCAAAGTTATGATCACTGCCTGTACTGCAGCACTCAAAAGCACTGAACAAAGCTGAGCTCGAATGTTCAGCATCCTGATGATAGATTGAAAACTGATCTATACTTTATTTAAAAAAAAAATCCCCCACATTCTCCCTTCTAAGGGAAGTTATAACCCAATAATGTCTCCCATTTTCTTATGTCTTAGGGAGGGAGCTAGGAAACAGATACGCTGACTACAAATGTTTTCTCTCAAACAGTAGGCGAAGTAGCAAAAAAATCCAGACTTTAGAGAACACTTGTTTACAAACAAAGGAAGCTTTGCTGAGTCCAAATTGTGCCTTGGGCCAGCTTCCAAGAGACTAGTGAGGGAGTATTTTGGCAGAAACCCGGAGAACAACTGTCTCTTGTCTCAGCTGCTGCTCTGTTGTTCACTGAAGTCAAGCTGTGGCCAAACACAGCTTCCCTGCCTAAGCCAGCTGCTTTAATCCTACCCTCCTTGTGCTCTGCTACTGCCTTGCAGCAGACAGTCATATCAGGCAGCATCGGGTGCTATTCATACTCGTGGGAAAAAATTAACCAGGGACTGTTTGCCTTTGTCCCCAGGAGGAAAGATTGATTTAAATCAGAGATGCATAATTACACTTACTGTCTCAGATTTAGACCATGAGAAGCTGGACAGGAAATCTTCCTTGGTCAGCAG